AGCGGAAGCTTTGTCTTCGTGAGATGTATCCCTGCAGTGGAAAAGCGGAATGACGAAGAGTGAGGGGAGGAATGACGGTGAAGAAGAGCGATCGGCAAGAACAAAAGAAGGAATCCGATCTGCTTCTCTTTGTTCTCTTCCTTCGTGTACAAATAAGGATAAAGCAAGGGTAAAAATATAATTTTCTATTTTCATTTTAAAATCCTTTTCTGTTGCCAAACGAGTGATTTCGCTAATATCACACACAAATCTCTCGAATTAAAAACCTGGATTTTAAAAAGAGTGATTTGATCACAATTCCTCTCAAATCACTCAAATTTAAAACACTAATCCAAACTACGCCTTCTTTGATGCAGTGTTTGTTGCCTTCTATATTATCTCCTTATGCTTCTTAAATTTTCTTTGCGTTATCTACCAGGGCTCAAAGTCATCAACGCCATATGGACGCTGACCAGAGGGTGGATTTCTCGAATGATGATGTCGAGGAGAGCCTAGCAAGAACGAACTTAAGTCTGATTGGGTGCCTCTTTATTAAGAAGATGCCAATTCAAGTGTTGCAAAGAGCTGTTTCATCTGTGGAATTGCAGAGCGCAAGTTGCTGTATTTGAGACCGCTAATTTTCTATTGTCATTATTTGCTCCCGCTAAATTATTACTTACCTCATTATAATTACTTCGTGTATAGTTTTTCTTTTTTTTTTTTGAGTAAAAGGAGGCCAAGGCCGCAGAAGCAGAAATACACGGGGGAGGAGATTACAGGTCAGGGGAAGTATGGGAACCAGTCACAATGTTCCTAGTGAAAGTGATTCCTCTACAATCATCTCCAATAATACTCTGGATCCCCTGGGGTGGCGCCGTTAAAACACACTTACCGTAGGGGTAGACGAGACTGTGCTTCGAGAGCCAGTCCGCAGCTCTATTCCCTTCCCGATAGGTGTGTGCTAACTTAACCACCCAGTCTTGGGCGATCCTACGTCTGATAGCAGCCAGAAGAGTAGCGTGAGGGTGAAGGGGATCAGATCTCTTGTCGATGAGTTGCAAGGCCATCTGTGAATCAGTCTCGAGAATGAGGGTTCTGCACCCCTGCTGCCAGGCAATGCCCAGCCCATGGTAAATGCCCCAGAGCTCAGCCAAAATCGCGGAGCACGATCCCAAATTGCACACAAAACCTCCTATCCATCTGCCTTCCACGTTGCGAAGAATGCCACCCGCGCCCGCAGGGCCTTGACTGCCATTAGCCGCTCCATCCACATTCATCTTGTCCCAGCCTGTCGGAGGAGGAAACCAACCAATCTCCGTCGGATTTCTGTGCACCGGTGTCGGAACACGCCCAAGGACCAGCCTCGGAGCTGACCAAGCCTTATGCCATAGGCTTGCCTTGATCCTGATGGCCTGCAGAAGAGAAGGCGGAGAGAGAGTCTTCCCGATCCCATTGAATGCGCCCTCGTTTCTGTTCTTCCAGATGCTCCACAGCCCAATGCTGAATACTGCGCTCCACGGTATGTCGCCACTGAGATTATCCTCCTTCTTCAGATTGGTCGCCATCCAATTTTCCAGATTGCAGTCAAAAAAATCTTGAAGAAAGTCCGCCGGGATAAGACGCGCCCAAGCATAGGCTGCCGGCGGGCAGTCTCTGAGCACGTGAAGGGGGGTCTCCACCTGGGACAAACACCTGTAGCAGAAGGGGGAAGAGGACAGGTGTCGCTTGGCCCTTAGGTCGTTGCAGCTGATCCTGTTGTGTGCCACCAGCCACGTAAAGCATCTCACTCTCTCCGGGACTTGCAGTTTCCAAATATATTTCCACACTTGGGGCCGCTCGGAACTCGGAGTGTGGCACATCATCTGATAGGCGCTCTTGGTGGAGAAGCGTCCGTCCGAGGATGGTTTCCAGAACAAAGTATCATCCTCAGTAGTGATAGGGTCAACCGCAAGGGCCGTGACTTGATTCACAAGAACCGCTGGGAGAAGATTGCTGAACTTCTCCACTCTCCAAGCTCCTTCCTCGTTGACGTACTCTCCAACTTTGGCGTGAAGCTCTTCCTCCGGGATGGGACCGGTAGCCAACTCCTTTAGCGGGACCTGAGAAATCCACACATCAGACCAAAAACGAGTTAGATTGCCTCTATGAATATTCCAGGCACAACCCTGTCTAAGGAGATCTCCCGTTTTGGAGAAGCTATTCCAGGTGAAGGAACCTCCCTTTACAGTTTTGAGCAGGTCGAGGCGCTCTCTGTTCTTCCCATACTTGGCTCGCATGATCTGAGCCCATAACGTCTCCTTTTCGTTCATCAGTCTCCACCCGCACTTGGCAAGCATGGCTATGTTCACCTCCCTGGCCGACCGGATACCCAGGCCACCTTCCTCTTTTGGTTGGAGAAGCTGCGGCCATCCAACTAAGTGCAGTCTCCTTTTCTCATCCGAGTCTCCCCATATGAAGCTCCTGTTAATCCTGTCCAGCGTCTTGCATGTCGTTTTGGGAAGTAGTTCAACCTGCATAGGATAAACAGGTATAGACGCAGCAATTGATTTAACTACTGTAGTACGAGCAGCAAGGGATAGGTGCTTAGCTTTCCAAGGGGCCAATTTCCTTTGGATTTTCAGAACGAGGTCTTGGTATCTGGCCCTCGTCACTCTGCCATGGATTGCCATGACCCCCAGGTACCTGCCAAGGTCAACAGTGAGGGGGATCCCCATGTTGTCGCTCAAGGACCTGGCTCGTCTTCTAGGAACATTAGCCGACACGAACATGACTGATTTGGCAAAATTAACTCTCTGTCCCGAGCTAGTACAGAACTCATCCAAGCATTTTTTCACAATTCTGACTTGAGATTTCTCCGCTTCAGCAAAGAGAACTAAGTCATCTGCAAAAAAAAGGTGAGAGAGGGCCGGACTATCTGCCGAAAGCTTCAGAGGTTTCCATTTCTTATCCTGAATTGCCTGATCAATACGGTGAGAAAGTCTTTCCATACACAGGACAAAGAGATAGGGTGAAAGAGGATCTCCCTGGCGGACGCCCCGTGAAGGTGTGATGGGTTGAGATAGCTCTCCATTCCAAAGCAGCCGCATCCGGTTATTCTCGACACAGAACATGATGCAGTTTATCCATGAACTCGGCAGCCCAATCTCCTTCAGGGTGTCTCTAAGGAAGTCCCATCGGAGTCGATCGTACGCCTTCTCCAAGTCGATTTTCATCACGATCCCTCCCTTTTTACCTTTTTTCCTCCTGAGAGTGTGAAGTACTTCCTGCAAAACAATGATATTATCTGCAGTTTGCCTGCCAGGAATAAAACTGCTTTGGCGCGGAGAGACCAACTGTCTCATGATCGGCTTCAAACGGTTGGTGATCGCCTTCGTGATAGCTTTGAGGCAGACGTTATTCAGGGATATGGGCCTCAGCTGTGTCACCATCTCCGGATGATCTACTTTAGGAATGAGAACCACCGTCGACTCCGTGACACTGTCCGGAAGGCAACCTGCATCAAAGAAACTCATCGCCATGTTAATGAGGGACTTCCCAACCACCCGCCAAGCCCTTTGATAAAAGGCAGCGTGGAAACCATCAGGGCCGGGTGCTTGCAACGGTTTCATCTCATGGACCGCTCTGTGAATGTCGTCTCCCCTTATCGGCCTCAAAAGCCACAGAAGATCCTCCTGACTAAGACGGGGAAATGAGTTCTTCGGCATCAGATCAGAATACTCGGGGTCATCCTGCATGTATAAAAGAGAGAAGAAATTAAAAACCATTGAAGCAAGCTCTTGTGGGTCGTAAATCCACTCCCCATTAGAGTTTTTCAGGCTGTCAATTCGATTTCTCCTTCTCCTGATGTTAGCCTGCTGGTGGAAGTATCCAGTGTTCCGCTCCCCTTGCTGGACCCATTGCTCCCTAGCCCTTTGGAACCAGAAGAGTTCCTCTTGCTCCAGGATCTGATCGAGCTCTTTCTCTAACTTGGCCTGCAGCTTGAAAAGTCCTGGGGAAAAACAATCCGCAACTCTCTTTTGGATTCCGTGGATGCGCGCCAGGAGTCTTCTTTTTTTGTAGAAAATGCTGCCAAAGCTAGTCCGGTTCCACTCGTCCAAACTAGAGGCCATTTGTTGGAGGGCTTCCGGGAGGGAGGCGAGATCGTTCCATCCACCTGTAACAACATCCTCAAAGGAGTCACTGGATAGCCAAGCGGCCTCAAAACGAAAAGGGCGAGAAAGGTTATGAATGACTCCCTGATTTCCCACAGTGGTAAGAATGGGGTGATGATCCGAATGAAGACGAGGTAGATGGGTGACAGTAGTGCTGGGGTAGGCTGTGTTCCATCGATCATTGCAAAAGCTTCTGTCGATACGGCTGGCTTTGAAAGAAACATTTCCGTCCCCTCTACTCCAGGTGAAGCGAGGCCCCGAGAAACCGAGATCCATTAGTTCAGCCTGGTTGATTCTATCATTAAAAACTTTGCATCTCCGAAAGACATCGGGAGAGGTTCCCCCCGTCTTCTCTTCAGGTGACCTGATGGCATTAAAATCGCCGGAGAGCAGCCAGGGGAGGTCGTTAGACAGACTCGTCCTATAGATAGCTTGCCAAAGGCTGCTCTGCTGGCTTTGACGGGGGCTGGCGTAGACGGCAGTCAGGAGCCACTCTGCTGAGCTACTCTTCGAGACCTTCACCGTAAGATGTTGAGCGCAAGCCGAGACCACCTGAACATCAAAACAGCTGGCATCCCAGCAGAACCAAATCCCCCCTTTCCTTCCATCCGCTTCAACCCTCAACACGTTTGGGAAACCCAACCTGCCACAGACTCTGTTTGCATTGTCGCCGCTAACCTGGGGTTCGAGGACGAAAAGGAAATCAGGCTTGTAAGCATTCACAAGGAATTTAAAGGCCCTGTTCGCGGCGGCGTTACCTGCACCGCCAACGTTCCAGGAAAGAACTTTTAAATTTTTAATAACGGCAAAAGACATGGGAAATAAACAAATTTAAAGAGGGAAGGGAGACAAGAAGGAAGCAGGGCGGCATCAGGAGTTGGCCTTCAAGGGGTCCGGGTCTACGTCGCCATCTCCCAGCCGCACCTCGGGCTCAGCCGCCGCTCGGAAATGCATATCGGAGCTAGCGTTGGCTTTCGCAGCTCCCGTCCAGGCATCAATCTCCTGTAAAGTGAGGGCAGCGAGCTTGGTTCTCGCCTTATTCTTCTTCCCTTTGACAGGAGTCCATATCTGAAGCGCCTTCGGTGTGACCGGGAGCGGGGATTTCTTTGGCGATTTCAGCTTCTTTTTAGCTTTCTTTGTTCGCTGACCAGCAGATGTTGGCAAAGCCTCAGCATTCCGATTTTCGTCCTCCTTGACCGTAGGAAAGTTTACAATCTGGATAGAAGTCCCGCTGGGCCCTGCGATGTCTGTCAATGAAGGGGGGGAGAGCGAAGCCAAAACCGGCCCGGCCCTTAAGGCGATATCGGCCCCTTTGTTCATAAGAATCTGTCCGCTACCCGCCTGATCTTTGCTTTGGGCCCGGGCCTTAAAAGCAGATGGGTTATTCTTGTTGCTCGTGCTCTGTGGGCCGGGGCCCAAGACTCCTTTGCCCGCTGCGGCCTCAGTTTCTGCCTCTAGAATCTCCTTGCCCTTTCCTTTCCCGGAACCACTTCTGTCTCTCCCAATAACACCACCACTCGAGCTAGCTGCCCGTTGGTTGATGCCGACACGTCTCCCTTGCGCCGTGAGATTGCCAGTAAGAATCTCTTTGTTATCGCCCTTTCCTTTCTCTGCTTTCCCTTGATTGGCGCTTGCCCCATTCATCGTCTCTGAGTTTCCTTTTTCTGTATTGCGATTTCCGCGCCGCGATCTGCGCGAGACTTGCATCCAGGGCCCGTATCCGACTTTCTCCTCCGGTTGGGTCGCCGGAGCCATCTCCGGCGTGCTTCCGAATTCCACCATAGCTAGCGGCGGTGAGGGAGCCATCAATTTCGGGCAAGAGCTCTCTGAGTGGCCGATCTTTCCACATTCAAAGCACACTTCCGGCAGGTTCTCGTACTCAAGATATTGCCATTGGCCGTCTAGGCGAATACGCGTAACTAAAGGCTTAGAGAGGTCGATTTCCACAGCAATTCTCGCAAATCTGGCTCTCTGTTGATGAAGCGTGTGGTAATCCAGCTTAATCGTGCGACCAATCATATTTCCCAGCGAGAAAAGGACTTCCCGGTGATAATAATGAACCGGAAAAGCAGGGAGCTGAACCCAGACTATCATCGAATTCGGGAGTTTGTTGTTCAGGCGAAAATCAGGGGTCCATTGCTGGACGAGAAGGTAGTGGTCGAAGATAGTCCAGGGGCCTTCCGTCAGAGCTCTAAAATAATCTGTATCATTGCTGAGCTTGACTAGAAAGCACTCCGGGCCAAGCACCAGAATGTCCATACTCCCTGTTGGTCGCCATTGAGTTTTGATCTTGTTGCTGAAAGTAGTGAAAGAGACTTGGATACCAAGAGTGCGAACCACCAGCGAGCGTTGCCATGGTGCACTCAATTTGGACTTTAGTCCCTCCGAAACCTTCAACTCTGGTTCTCCGTTGAAAGTGCTCGGAACTAGGTCGTGTTCCCCAATTGGGGTCCATGGGTTAATTTCCTGGGAGCCTCTCGACCTCTCTCCCAGAACCGCCCCTGCATACGAGATAGGGACGAGATTCGACGTCGTCGGCGTAGGAGCTCCCGCGGGGGGGGTGTCCACAGCCATGTTCTCGCCAGTAGATATTGTCGCGGGGGGGTTTTCTGAGACGATCGTAGGTGAAGGGGCTTTTCAGTCGGCCGGTCGGAGGGGTTGGAAACCGTCGCCGGAGTAATCTGTTCAGAGCTCATTTCAGAGAAACCGGTCCAGCGTGTATAGTTTTTCTTATTAGTTCTTCTAATAGCTTTTCATTTTCGCATTTAAAGGGGGAACAATGATTAGTTTTAATTATGTTACATTTTATATTCTCATCAAAGAGATTTCTTGTTATGAGAGTACTACTATGTGTGGCTCATTTTCAATGGCGAAAGTCTGTATCCTTTTACAGTGGTGATAACTAAACTTTACGTAGTTATACTTATACTCTACAGTTCCTTTAGGATTGTTGGTTTTGCAGGGTTGTAGTCAAAAAACCAGTTGCTACCAATAACTCGAGTTGTTGGGAGAGGTTCAATTGTGGATCTTATACCACTCTCTAACACACCCCCTCAAACGAAAGCCAACCAATGGGCTTGAAGTTTGCACAGGTCCACCATACCATGTGCTTGAAAGACAATGGTTAATATTGGGGGTCGTGGAGATTCGAACACATGACCTTTCGGTTCTAGGCTCTGATACCAAGTCAAAAAACCAGTTGCTCCCAATAACTCGAGTTGTTGGGAGAGGTTCAATCGTGGATCTTATACCACTCTCTAACAGTTTCTCGGTTTTTGCTCCACTCACATTCCAACTAAACTACAGGATGGAAGTATGGCGGAAGGGTTCGCTGCTTTGCTTTCAACTTCAATGGAGGTTGATCCATGGTGTAGTGGCGTAACCAGGATTTTATATAACTGATTTTATGTATCGTATATGAAAAATTATTCCTAAAAAATATTCTTCATATGAACTATCAAAGATCTTATTGTCAATATATATCCTACTATATGATTCATGATTTTTCTAATCATTCCAATCCATGGACAGTTATGTTAAAGTCACTCTAGTGATTATGGATATTTAAAAAACGCCGATTGGAATGGAATGGTGGAGCCGAGCGGTTTAGCAACCACATTTGAGATGATAGTTAGGTATTGGAACCCTATTACTCGCGAGATCATCCTCTTCTCTTTATCTTGGATCCCGCCACAAAACAACTGACATTTATCTAAGGGGTCGTTTGCTTGTTGGATTTGAAAAATGAGGGTTTTAGGCAACAAAAAGTCAGAAATCTTGTGATTCATGATGAATTATTGTGTAATGGATTTGAAAAGTATAGTGTTTACATGATGGATTTGATAATATATTTATGATGGATTTGTCACATAAGCAACTAACCATCAAGAATTTACAAATTCCAAATAAATATGTGGGATTTACAAGTCCGTGGGTTCCACTGATTTGGTCCCAAAATAAAGACCAAATCCGTGAACCCCACGGATTTGGCACCCAACAACAAACAATGTACTTTTGTTTAATCCATAAAGCTTGGGATTTGGGTACCAAATCCGACAAGCAAACGACCCTTAGATTTTTTGGTTTGAATTTTTTTGTCTCTCCCCTCCACCATATAATTGTAAAAGAGACACGTGAATTTCCCCTTCCCCCAATTTTTCATAATATCAAGTGTGCTCCTCCTTACTTTCCTCCTTCATTAATTGTGGTCAACTTATTTAAATTAAAAAGTCATCCAAGTGAAATGTTCTTGTTGGTTGGAGCAAGTGTTACTGTGTTAGTATCATACTAACAAAAAAAAAGTGTTAGCATTCTAGCCCCTCCATACAACCGATTTGTGTTGATTCATGCCGATTTAAACAAATATGTAAAAATGTTCAAAATCACTTACAATCCATATATTTATTTAAATAAAATAAGAAATTTCAAATAAAATAAAAAATACTAATATTTTAATACAACATTTAACATCAATAGATAAACAATTATACTTGAATCCAACAAATAACATCAACATTTAACTTTTTCACTAAAACAACGTTATTTTTCTTAGAGATCGTAAATCGATCTAACGTTCATACTTGTGGTGTCCATGTCGGTTTCATGACCGACACCGGTTGAAGCAGGTACAACTGATCGACATGAACAGCGGCATGACAACCATGTTGGAGAGTCATGTGGCATCGACAGAGGAAACAACATCGTCTGACTATCGTTCTCGTTGTTTTCGATAGAAGGTTGACATTTTACAATGTTGACGCTTTGAGGAGTTTGAGTCCGGTTACGACTATAGTTGTCAAACCAGTGGTATGTAGGCCTGCTGAACTAGATTAAATTAGTACCTATCATGAAATCGGTTGTAATACCACTGGTATGAAGTTATGGTCAATATAAGTCAAGCCCACTCAAAAATCAAAATCTCAATGGTCCAACCGAAATATATGTTCTGATCTCTAAACAAACATGTTAGGGTTCCCCAATTTGACTGTTTAGTTTTTTTTTTTTTTTTTTTTTTGCATTAGACACTCGCCTCCTTCATGCACAACCACCTTTGCTAATTTCTCTCTGCATTTTCTCATTCCTCTCATATGAACCCTAGCAAATTGATTCCATGATTAGTTGAATAAAGGTGACCTAAGTCTTGCCCTTCAATTCTAAATTCAGAGAAGCTGAGACGGTTCACCTCCAACCCTTGATCCCTCTCTACCTCTATAATCAATCCGTTACAACTAAGGGGCTCAATCTAGACTCCTGAGAGGTAGAACTAGATTGTCGGCGGTTAGATTCCCAACAATCCATCCTCTTCATCTTCTCTAATGTGGCGAGCCACCCTCTTCTTCTCCAACGTGATTGCCAAGGGACCAGAGATCCAGAGCTTTGTGAGTTCAGTTTACTCTTCCTCTCCTCCACCTTCTCCTTCTCGGAACTCGAGATCTTTGGAGGCATATTGATGGCAAAACGACAGACACTATCACGACCTTACTTTTGGTCGTTCGGCTCTAGCTCTCAATTCCGTTAGAGATGCTAGGCAACCTTCTCACAACTCTCAAGCTCACAGAGAAGACAAAGGAAGTGGGAGAACTTTCTAGGTGCATTACTCCAAAAAAATGATGGAATGAGTTACGAGTGAGGGAGATTGCTCCTTATATAGATCTCTCCACATACAAGGCATCAATGCACATTCACAATGGTCTCTCCCCATTACTACACCTATTAAGTCCCCTCATAATGCACTATCATAATGACACCCATAAAGTGGCTCATAAGTGCACAATAAAGCTCATGAAGGCTGAGAATCCTAGAATATCTCTATGTTTCTAGTCTTCCATACACGCCACATTTGTCTGTTCGTAATATCTCGGAAAAATTTTATCCGTAAAGAGGTTTTCCTCGAGATAGTTTTAATATGGAACTTAGAAATCTAATGAAAAACAGACTAAACATATTGGATTTACACAAGTTCTAGGAGAACTCTTTCGACCAAGTTCAATATGTCCAGACTTGTGTTTTGCAAGCAATCATTATGACTGCAGGCTGAGTTCACCTTGCCTAGCTGGAATTTTAAGTTTCTAGTAAAACACATGATACCTCCTTTATGTATACAACTCCATCTGTTTCTCGTTCCCACTATACTGCTTCTAACAGATACTAAACAAGCTACAGATGCCATTGGCTAAATACTCCCTGTGTTGATTCTAGTAACTGTTTTAACTCGGTCCATTTTAAAAAATCTAGTAACCTATGAGAACCATGACTCATCTTGACCTCCCCCGCCCATTTGCCAGGTCCAAAGTCCTTGTAAGCAAAGGAAAAAGAGTTGGAATTTGGAAACAAAGAGTTGGAATTTGGAAACAAACAATACCCTTTACTCACAAATGTAAACTCTTCCTTTAGCCCGGTCGTCAAGTGATGTCTTTCATGGAGCCTCCCACTGGTGCTGGGTGAGAATGGGATCTGTCAACTCAACCAGTTTCACCGATCCATCTCCCCCGCAAGATAGAAAACCACGGGGAAGCACTTGTATGTCCGTAACACCCGCCTGCATGCATGCATACAGACAGACAGGCTAATATCACCATCAAATCCATCAATACTCTAACCAACCTTCTGAAGAAAGGTTATAACAGGGCAACAGTAGAAGAGAAGACTTAATTACCCTAACAACGCCGCTGAAACCTCGGGAGCTCGGCTGAACAAAAGTGTGTCTTTCGTGCAATTTCGGCCAGTGATGAACCAACTTGGCTCCCTTGGCGTCCCATAGCTTCACGTCACCATCCTTGCTCCCCGTCAAGAACAAGCTTGTATGTGGAACAATTGATATTTTGGTGATGCTTCCCATGTGAGCCTTTGGGATGTACCACAGCATCCCCTTCTGATTCTGCTCCCCTGATGATAATGTACTAGAGCTGCTGCTGCTGCTGCTGTCGAATTGCCAGTGTCTTTTGCTCCTTCCAGTGGCTATGTAGCGGAAGTCATGCAACCCAATATCACCACTTTTTCCACCAGTTATAATAAGGGGAGAAATGGAGCCGCTACTGAAGTCATTGTCAAACACTGAGATTGACCGAGCACCGCCTGGTTTAAGATGATGGTAA